TGACCTCCAACAGGGCAGTGACGTCACATCAGCAGCTCTGACACACATAACGCACTTACTCAGAGTCTCTGCTGGGAAGCCATCAGGACAGAACTGTTCAGATGCCTGTCCGTGCCTGTGGTTGGAAGCAGCTTGCACAAATAAGTAGAAAGTTTGTGTTTCACCAAAGGGTTCAGACTTAATATAATAATAACAAAAAGAAGCCAGAGATCTCTGGTGAAAATGTGTGATTACAGTGTATAAAACCTCCTGCCTGATGAACCTAAGGAGACCATCAAGGGCCACCTGGTGGAAAAAACAAATCAATGTTGACACTTGTGCTACGAAGCTAGACATCCTTGTGTGTAATTTATGAGGAAAAATTATACTCTTGAATAAGAATTTGTAATTCAATATCTCTAATTCACAAGCACTGAATCATGTCAGTCTTTTAATGCAGGGAGCAAAAATACAATTCATCACATTCAGGCATAAGCACACATAGTATACACTCAATTTAGTGCAAGAGGGAAATATATATGTAAAATTTCGTTATGTATAGATATTTGATCTATTTTTTTAATAATCATTTTGTCCATAAAATGTTACAAAAATAGTGCCCTACAATTTTCTTTAGACCCTAGGGTGATGGGCCTGCAGACCCCAGAGGTATATTTTTTGTCTTGTCTCACAGGTGCCTTATCCTATCATTCTGATATTTAATGACTTTGTCAATCAGTTTGTTCCCTAATGACCTCTTCATTGTTTTCTGTTTTTTGTGTTAATTTGTGCTTCGAGAAACATTTTGCCATGATGGTTGTTTCTTACAGTGTTTATTTTTGTGGTCCCCAGGGCCCCAAGTCAGTAGTTATTGTATCTTAAATATTTTGGTAGGATGAGGGGGATTTTTTTGTCAAATCAATAGCCCTAAACTGTTTCATAATTTTCAATAATATAACATAGAGAAAAGCAGCAAATCCAAACTTGAGAACCCAGAACCAGAATGTCTGCTGTTTCTGCTATAAATGACTTAAATGGTGATCAAAGATTCATTTTCTGTTGATCGATTGGTTATTCATTGTCTCTGCCCATCACTGAATCAGTCTTCAGTAGTAATATGCCCAATATATATTGGGCTACACTGTCAGAAGGGAAGGTAATTGTGAAATCTTTATTAAAAAAAATATTGACCAAGTGCATTAAAGACTTGACTAATAAAGGAAGCAGTCATGCAGAATAATTAGCAGCATTGTCCATGAGGCCTAAAACAACCAGATATATCAAGAGGACAGCTACCTCTGTACAAACATGGTATATATTGTTATATTGCCCAACCCTTAGTACAGGCATACAGTAGATGGGCAAGTACATGTCTGTACACTCAAACCAACACACATGCATATACACATAGACACAAATGCATTGCCTTGACAAGTACACACTATTTCTCACATGCACAGTCACACAGATTGATGAAATCCAGATTCTCCTTGGGGAAGCAAACATTGCTTTACACAAAATACTTTGTCCTGAATGTTTATTATGCTTGCTGAGGCTTCCCACTCTGAGAACAGCGGGCCGGTGAGGGAGTGACGCTGCAGGCTGTGTGCGGTCGGCCCGACAATTCAATCACTGACACATTCTCTGCACTGCACAGTGTCGGACTTTATTATGTTTCATCCCTCTGGCCAAATTCTATCCTTCCAGTGATCGACTCATCTGCCTATACATCTGGTTGATTGTCCGTCCATCCAGGCGTTTGCTCTTTTGTTTGCCTGTCTGTACTCCAGTCCATCTGATTTATCCATCATCCATTTGTCTGTCTTCAGCCAACACGTCTTCTGTTTGTCAAGGTGTCTGTCATTCTGCTAGCTGTCCATCCATCCGTCCACTTGGGTGGTGGACGTCCTGTGGACTCTGAATGCCTACAGTGTCAGAGGGGAGATCCTGTCTTTCAGCGTCAAGATCCAGAGTCCAGAAAACACACACTCACACATACAGCTTTGGCCTCTCACTCAGCAGCCCCCCACCCTCCCATCATGCCTTGCCTGGCTGTATTATGACAGGTGGAGTATCGGTCACCACCAGCATCTCTCTTTAGCAGAGGGCTGCCGCAGAGAGTTAGTATGTGTGAGAGAAAGCATCAGAATGTGTGTTTAGAAGTTAGACTAATGTGGTGTGTATATATTTACAGATTCTGTATATACAATGTATATATTCAGGCATCTGTGAATGTGTATGCTTACATGTATGAAATGTGTTACAGCAGGTTTAATTGAAGGAGGTAGAGATGTATGAAGGGGGCAAAAAGACTGAGGAGAAAGATAAGGAGATGAAGACTGAAGGTTGAGAAGAAGATAGAAATGGTGAGCACCAGAAGAATAAGAAGAGGAAGAAGAGGACAGCAGGAGGGGCAGAGGGCCTGTTGAGGATGTAAAAAGGAATCACCCTGATGGTGAAAGGAGAGCAAATTTGCAATGAAAGCACAAAGTCATCACTCATCACCTGGATGGCCTCTCACTCCTCTCTGGAGATCACACTGCTGAGTTTCTGTTTCTTCTTCTCTGCTCCAAACTGAGTGATGGGTTTTTAACACTTGAATTCCCAGTGAAACAAAGAAAGTATGGCACCACATTTACTTCCTAAAAACCATGTAAGCCTATCAGTATGCCAAATGTTGCATTATGCTGCAGAAGTTAGCATTACATATAAAATATGATTATGACTCAGAGGACTGGCCCACAGAGCGGAGCGACAGCATCCCATCCTCACTAACTTAGATGCTGCAGATTCAACCTCATTGATGATTGATTTTTACATTTTTTTAAATATTTATTCATATTCGTGTGTGTACATTTGAACATTTCTGACTTCGGTGCCCCAAGTGGAAGTATAAAAAGAGACACAATGCATCTGTGAGATGAAAGCAATGTATAGACTGCACTATTTTCCAATTGAGTTCTCTCATGATTCCATAAACAACCTCAGGGCCAGTTTTGAAGAATGACAGGAAACCAGGGGCCAGTTAATAAGCAAACATTCATAATATTTATCTGATAAAATGAATACATAAAAAACATTAGAATCGTTGGTGCAGCAGAATAAGATGACTTCATAGTCTCTGTTGTTGTGGTGCCGACAGGCGGGAACGCTGCACTGAAGCTAGTGTGTTTTGAGTTGTGTCGATGTTAGCAACCTTGCATACAGCAATTGGCATTTGGCAAATTGAACGCTGTGGTTTAGGACTAGTTACACGAGTGCAGTGTTTTCTACTCACGAGATCCATTTCAGTCGCTTAATGTACTGTGAAAATACATCTCTTCAACCTAGTTTGAAAAAGGTGACTAGATTGGATTTACTAATGCATTATTACATTTTGATGACCAGTGACTTTAAACTGCACTGTATGCTTAAATGTTTTATTATGGGTGATCTCTGTAGGAATTGAATTATTCTGACCGCACTCAACTCCAGCGCTACATAATACCCACATATAGACACACACACACACACACACACACACAGACACACTAAAAAAATAAATTCAAAGCAGGAAAATCTCACTCTTCTTGAATTTAAGGAAAGGTATTTCTCTCTCTTACACTATGTAGGGAAGAGGAGGAGGCAGACAAGAAAAGAAGAGAGGAGACGAGGAGGACCAACCTCTACTGGGTGGCCAGGAAACAGGAGCTGCACACTTACACACACACACACACACACACACAGAACAGCATACAAACCCATCTCCCACCAGTCAGTCCACCGACCAGATCTCCCATCACCCAGGCGTGAGAGAACATACCGGCTCAGGTCTCTAAATCTGACGCACCAAAGAGCTCAGCCTCACCGCCTCGGGAAATAATAATGAATATGGAATGATAGTCTGTATTTTGTGCTGCAAATGCAACCAGATGCAAAAGGTGGAGGGAAAAAAAATCAGGAGCAGATGTCGGTAACTTACAGAAACAAGAGGTCTCAGGGACTGTGGGCAGCCAGTGTGCCCTGCAAACATATTGTAACCCTACCCTGTGTGTAGTATAATCACTTATAGTATGTATATCGCCACTTTGTAATGAGGGAGGTATGGGATAGAGGAGTTCTGCAGCTGCTCCCTGGGAAAGTTCAGTTGTTAAGGAAACAGCCAGGCTAGACACAACAGCACCCAATTAACATAGAGACCTCAGACAATGAGGAAACCGCACATGTCTGACACATTTCTATAGCCTACTGTACATGTGCTGGTGGGAGAGTGTGTATTTGCATATGTTCCTCTTCCATAGGCTGCACGGAGCTCAGATATGCATTCAGAACAACGCAGGCAGCTGGTGTACGGTTCCACAAAGAGATTAGAAGGTCCCGTATAAGACCCAGTGGCTGTCTGAAAAAGATGTTATACATGAATTTAAGCAAGCGTCTGCAAGATCTTAGTTCTTCCCTTTAGTGTGATTATTCTGTCTCCAGTAGAAGAAGACTTAAGTTATTTGGAAAAAGGCACCACACCAGTGAAAAAGCAAATGATTTGGTATTCAAGACCCAACATTACTTTTATATCATGCAGTGATCCTGAGTATGTCTGATACTGATCCAGTGAAACTCTCACACATACACAAAAGTAAAATCTGTACGTTGGAATAGAGAAGAGATTCTGAAATACATAAAATGTTGGGAAAAGGACATTTTGAAACAAAGAAAATAAACATTTTGATTACACAGTGTTTTGAGATAGAACCATAAAATTACATTTCATAATAATAAGCTACGGTTTAAAAAATGTATTGTAATGTATTGAAATATTACACAGTTCAGTATTTCATGTGTTTCCTGTATTTGTTTGTTTATTTCATAGTCTCATTTAATTATATAAAACGTAAGTAATCCTGTTATGACTTTAGCATTTATTATTCGCACTAGATATCTAAATAAGCTCTGCGCTTTACTTTCACTGTGCTGAATTATGGACTGAAACGCGGCTTTCTCAATTTTTTGTCCTTTCAAAGCCACCGTAGCGCGACGTCACAATCCAAGATGGCGCTCCCCGTGCGGACTAACTTCAGACAGCTCCTCGGATTGATTCACAAGTTTAATTCTCCTAAAAGGTTCCTCTGCGCTGGAGCCGGGACGGAGAGCAAGGTACAGGCTAGAGGAGGCTTCAGTGTGGCTGACACACAGACTGAAAGCCTCCCGGGGTTGTGTCCCCGGTTCACCCCGGTTCACCCGCTGGAGCACAGCAGCATTCAGCTTCATATGTTCAGAGTTTGTGTTTCTCTAAGTGGTCACTGGGTTTGATTGAAACTGCTGTTGGAGGTCGTCTGCTTCTTTCTCCGTCTGTTAACGAACAAACAGTGAGTAGTGAGTGGAGAGGAGCTGTCAGCTGTCTCAGTACACATGGCTAATGCTGGCTGACTTACAGGCAGGCACAGATATAGGCAGACTTAAAGTCTATTGTAGTTATTGTTGGTACACACAATGTAAAGGCTTTTAGCAGTGTGATATGGGAGGTTTTTTAATGCTCCTTAGATACTGACTGTATCATATCCACAGTGCTGGTTGCTTCAGAACACACACAGCAGTCTTTGAGTGGGGTCATATCCTCAACCTGAGGCTGTTATATTATTATTTCATTCACCATATATTCTAAAGCTAGGCCCATAAACTGTCTGGGCCAATATATCAGCCAGTAGTGGTTTGTTGCGTATGTGTATATGTCGGTCAAAGAAATTGGCATTTACAATACAGCATCTGCAGTTTTTAAAGTAAAATGTGAGACAAACAGCATTATAATGAAGTGCTGCAGAGAGGCCCTGGCCTACAGTTCTTGTTCTCCAGATGTGAGAAAAGATGTTTGTTTGGTACAGACCCCAACAGATGTCAACATGATTTTAATAGTTTTTCAGTGAAAATTAAATTTGTGATACAAAAATGATCATTCCCACGCAAAATCGTTAATCATATTGCAATTTCTGTCAAACAAAATAACAATATGATGGCTTTACCAAATTGTACAGCCTTCATTTAAATCCAAAGATACCAGGCGTATTTCCATATTCTGTTATATGTATAAAAAATGGTTTTGTTGAATTGTTTTACATTCCTCAAACTAAAATAATTGCAGAATCAATCCAAAGCCTTTAAGCGGCCCCTTAGGGCAATAACATGCAGAAGTCACATGCTTGTAAACATTCTCGTAAAGGGATGGTCTGATACTGTGCTCATGTACTCGTAATTGTAATCATAAAACTACTCCAATACTGCACTCTGGTGCCACTTAACCGCTTCACATAACCTCTCGTTAGTTGAGCAGGTCGGCAGAGGAGAAGCAATGTCAGCAGATATTTCAAACAACGTTTACAACATTAGCAACATTTAATTTGTTAAAGTCAGAAAGTGAGGAAAATCTGATAAAAATAAAACATGTTTTTCAATTAAATTTTAGAATTAATGGTATCAATAATTAATTAATGGTACTAATGGTATCAGTATGTTAGAAAGCTCTCTCTGTGTTATAAAGTGATTTGCTATACCTCCAGTGTGTTTCACTATGGAGGACAATGGGGGAGAGCATTGTTTCAGGTAAGGCATGTCCTTAAAGTAAATGCTTTACATTTAGAAACCCCCAGGTGATTGGTAGGAACTGAGATCTCCGATTGTCTGGTATTGTGAGACTAAAATATATTAATATAAATATATTAGGGCTGAACAAAAAATTTAAATATTACTGAAATTGCCAATGGCCAAGTGTCATAACCAAACTGCAGAAGTTGACTCTGTAGCGCTGCAGAGAGGCCCTGGCCTACAGTTCTTGTTCTCCAGATGTAAGAAAACATCTGTTTGTTTGGTACAGACCACATTTTTTTTTTTTTTTTTTGTGAAAATGAAAATTGTGATACAAAAATGATAATTCCCACTAATTGTGAATCATATCACAATCATAATATCTTCCAAAATCACTGCATTATATATATATTTTCTACCATTTTGTGCAAGTTAATGTAATTATTATGGAAATCACAAAATAGCCAAGTGCAATATTCAGATTGCAGGGAAAATGCCTAAAAGCAGCATTACAATGAAGCACTGAAGAGTGGCATATTTACAGTATGTATATTTTATAATATATACTGTATATACAACTGGCTGACAAAATCAGTCAATCAGCCAACTGCTGTTAATGTGTAAAAACTTTTTGGTCAGTCAATGCGTTACAGCTGTCCTGTGGAGTTAGAGATGAATGTTTCGACCTGCAAGCTCTTCATCGGACAAATGTGGTGTTTGCTTATTAAAGAACTTTAGAGATTGAAAACTTGGGACCTTGGAAACTTTTTTTTCTTTTTTTTTTTTTCTTTCTGTAAGAAATAAAGCAGCAGCAGCAGCAACTCGGTGCAAGAATTCAGTCATCCAAAGTTTCTCCTGGACGGGGAGCCCAAGAGCAGCACTTCTTATATGTGCATAAATATGCAGTGGAAGGTAGTATTTTTCGAGTTAGTCCATTTCTTTCAAGTGTAACAGTCTTGTGGATTTGTAGCAGGAAGTTTTGGTATTTAGAGCAGCTGCATTTAGTTTGACAGCAGAAAGTCTTAAAGCCTCCACAGCAACTGTCAGCTTTCGTGTCAGTTGCTCACAATCAAAGAGTGAAGGTTTTTTTTTTTCCTAGAGTACAGATGAAGGCAGACATGGTTATGCCCAATCCCTGGGGAAAAGGCATTCTGGGAAATGGAGGAAATAATGAACTGAAGTTGAAGTAAACAGTTGTTTTAAATTAAATGTAATTGATTATACATTGATTATATTGGACTTTAGGTGGATTACGTTTTACAAAGCCACAAAATGACATGTTCATTCATTATGATGGGTTTTATGGTTCCTTCATGGATCACACCTTTTGGATGACTCTATTTCGAGAATTTTCTTCTCAGACACATCACATTATTAATTCATTTTTGACTGTAGCAGTTTTTATTTGTGACTAAAAGCTTGAGTTAATTCGGTTTCCTTTCCTGTCTGGCATGTGACATCATATCCTCAGTAGCACTCCTTGAGTGTACCTTTTTATTTCAGTGGGTTCAAGAAACACGCTTACTATAACTCAGCGTAGGGTTTTCTATCATTGCACCGCTGCCTTGGAGAAGCAAATGGGGTGTTAAGGAAAACAATGAGTCCCACGGCACGCGTAAGAATAACCAGTGCGTTTCAGTACAACAACGATGCTAATTGTTGAGCTGTTCTTGCATTACGGTGCAGTTGAAAACCTCAGCCATCTGCCCAAAGCCCTGATGCTGGTTGATGTACGAGCTGTAATACAGTACGCACGTTCACCGCTGTCCCGTCTGTATTTTGTTAAGGCAAAGTCTCTGGAGAGGCTGGAGAGGTGTGCGACGAGAGGGGAGGAAGGGTTGGAAGTGGGGTGGAAGTGGGGTGGAAGTGGGGTGGGGGGGGGGACTCAAAAAGCATCACAGCAGTGCTTCATTACCAGCAATAACATCAGAAATGAAGTGTTGGTTTTCATTTGTTTTAATTTTCTCCAACTGTGGAAGGCTGAGTCCAAACACCAGCACACTCACAATGCCCTGAGGTGTGATGTGCGTCAAACAAGACGCTTTTTGGAGGTTTTTCTGCGCTGGAAAATGTGTTTAAAAAGTCACTGAACCTCAATGGGCTGACACAAAGATGAAGTGCGACCTTTGTCAGATGCTTTGAATTTTGAGAGGAATGTTTGTGAGACAGCTGTGACTTGCTTTCTAAAATCTTGTCACTTGGAGTTAAAATTTGCTGTTAATGTCTGCTGATAATATCAGTGAGATAATCTGTAGTCATTAGACAGCAGTTTGTTTTGCATATAGGTTTATAGTGTCTTATTCTATTGTCAGGAGTACATACCGTGTTTACTATAGGGTTTCTTGGTTCACCAAAACATTTTACAATATACAAAGGAATCAGAAGGTAAACCATTTTTATTGTTCAAACTGAAAAATTGAACTTAAAAAGAATAAAAGATATGCCAACAACCCTTATTCTGCTTCCTATTTGAAGCAGGTTATCTCAAATACAATGTTGTATGCCATGGTGTTCAGTCCTGTTAATTGTGGCTTATTAATTGTTGTAACTTTATAAGTTATAACTGTTAGTAAGAAGAGTCAATAGGGATCCCCTCTCAATACGCCCTATACAGCTTGCCCCGAAACTAGCTCTTCATGGTAAAAACATGTACAGCAGTTATTTCAGTAGGTATGGTGGTATACAGTATATTTGTATCACAGGAAATTGTTGCCCAGCACTAGAAAGAGACTTCATAGGTAGATGGATTGGGATGGGATCGCCCAGTTATTGTCAAAAAAGAGTTTTCCAAATTGATATTTTACATATCAAGTTTAGATGTCCAGTGTGTACCATTTAGGAGGATCTATTGGCAGAAATGGAATATATTATTCATAGGTATATTTTCATTAGTGTATAATCCCCTGGGTCCACCGTTTTAAACAGCCATATTCCTACAGTAGTTCCGCAGCAGGTATAGTTTCTCCTTTGCACCTGGAAAAGGAGACAGGCGGGGTGTCGCAGTGTGCAACTTAACCGTTAGATGCCATTAAATCCTACACAGTGGACCTTTAATTGTGATGGGCAGTACTACTCAGCCTCTCTTCCATGATTCTGGAGTTTGTCTGAGAAAGTTACCCCAGTGATGTCATCAGGGTTATCATAGCTTGGGCTTGGAGCTGAAATATTTTTATAGAAAAGCCTGTGTAAAAAAACAGTATTTTGAAAGACATTAGTATTAATGAGACAGGTAAGGTATATTGAATCCATTATTTTTTTTAACTTGAATGTTTGAGGCACTGCATGAATTCATTTAATGTGAATAGTGAATTTAACTGTTGTAATGTTAGTTTAGAATTGAAAGTTGTGTGTTCTCTACAACCCTACTACATTACACTAACCCCGAGCCTCACGTCAGCTGTAAATACAGGGCTCCCCATCCAGCCATCCCTCGCCTGTGGTCTTGTTATTGACTGATATCAGTCATGTCAGCCCCAGGCTTCAGGAAAGAGGAAGTGACTTCTAATTTGCCTCTCTGTTCTCCTCTGCTTCAAATTCACTTACTCGGGTGTCAGCTAAAACCATTAGAGCGGCTCCCG